ACGAATGGAATGTTGAGCTGGACTTGTTTCATGAGTTTCAGAAAATGACCAAACTGGTCACTATCATTCTTCCTAGTCAATCGCGCCGGATAAGGGAGAGGAGGGGTGTAATTTTTGACGGGAACGGGCTGTTTTGGTGCAACCACCACCTCTCTTCCCTCTTCTAACTCCTTTTCTTCCTCTTGTGCAGCAGGTACGTCATTAACTTCAACGGGTTTCTTTGCCATGGCAGCAGGTTCTAGCTCTTTTCCACTTCTCAAGGTGACTGCATGAACATGTTCTCTTAGATTTGGTTCAGTATTACTAGGGAGGCATCCCAGAGGCCTCTCAGATAAAGCCTTTGAGATCTGCCCCATTTGAGTCTCCATGTTCTGTATCCTTGCCTCAGTTATTTGCATCCTTGAGTCTGCTTGCTGCTGCTCTCGCTGTTGATTTTGCATTTGTTGCTGTTGATTTTGCATTTGTTGCTGTTGAAATTGCAGCAGTTTCTTAAGTGTTTCTTCTATGCTAGAAAATTTCTGCTCAGTCTCTCTCTTAAAGCTCTCTTGCACTGGCTGAGATGTTTGTTGTTGATTATAGTTTCTAAACTGCTGCTGCTGATTTACATACCCGTAATTCCCTTGCTGCTGCTGTCCGTAGGGCTGATTGTAGTAGCCCTGTCGCTGATAATTCATCGCATCAACTTGCTCTACTCCAGGGGCTGCCGAGTGTGCCATCATAGTGCATTCATGTGGCGAATGGAGTCCCCCACACATAGTACAAGAGGGACTAATAGGAACGGGGGCTACCATATTAACACTGGGCACTGAGAGAGCAAGATTCGTCTTCTTTTGATTATCCTCCACACTTGTAGCAAGCTTCTGAATCATGCTAGTCAAAGCATCTACCCTCGCAGAAAGGGCTGAATTATCACTGATCTCATACAACCCCGGGGTCTTCTGGTGAGGTGTGTCCCGAGAGCTGTACCATGAAGCATTATTCGAAACAATCTTCTCCACTAATTCTTCCGCCACCTCAGATGGTAATTGAGGAAAAGCTCCTCCACCCGAAGCATCAAGCATCATCTTCCCTTCATCGCAAATTCCGCTATAGAAGCAAGATAGAACCTCACAATCAGTCATCTTGCCTTGAGGACAAGCTCTTCTTAGCACTTTAAATCTCTTCCACGCCTCAGCCAATGTTTCCAACGAACCTTGCTTGAAATCTTGCAGCTGCTTCTTCAGCTTTATGGCCTTTGATGTTGGGAAGTATTCTTTTATGAAGGCCTTGTGCAGCTGATCCCAAGTCTGAATGTGGTGATGTGGATTGCTATCCAACCATCTCTGCGCGTCATCCCTCAATGAGAAAGGGAACAATAGCATCCGTACCTGATCGTCATCTAGCCCAGGGATCTTGAAAGTTTGGCACATCCTCAGGAATTTTGTAATGTGTGCCACTGGATCTTCTGTAGGGCTCCCTCCAAACTGATTATTGGACACCATGTTAATCACTGCTGGGTTGATCTCATAGCGGGGTACAGTAATTCCCTGCACTTGAATGCTGTCATACTCTGTGATGTCCGGAGTAAGGAAATCTGCAATGCTTTCTCCCTGATAGAGCGGATTGTTATATGGGACATGATGTTGGAATAGAGGAGCCTGATGTCTTGGTTGAAGAACTGGTTGTGGTCTAATAGGATGTGGACGGGCTATGTTTGGTTGTGCTTGGGGCTGAACTTGGGGCTGATGATATTGTTGAAATTGATTTTGGAAGGGATGAGTTTGTGGTTGATGGATGGGTGGATTTTGAGTGACTTGGGGCTGGTTTTGACTTGGCTGAAAGAGTGGATTATTTTGCCCAATACCTTGCATCCCATATGTTTGATTTTGAAAAATGGTTTCGGGAGCAGTAGAGGTATTTTGGAAGAGTTGATAAAGCGGAGTCATGTTGATTTGGGGCGTGGCCTGATTTTGAGGAAAGAATGGTGTGCGGGAATTCTGAAATCCCGAGTAATTTCTAGGTGAAATAGGCGGTGAAGACTGGGGAGAGGTATTGACATAAAAATCAAGGTTACCAGAAGTGGTTTGGACCTCAGACGTCCCAGCAATTCCAGATGATGTAGGTTCCATGGTTGCGTTCTGTTCTCTAAAGGCCTTGCGGTTCTGTTTAGCGAGCTTCTCAATCTCAAGATTAAGAGGGACTAGTGATTCTCCCTTCTTAGTGCGTGTATGCATAAACAGATCTGACCTGCAAGGTTAGCAGACAAAAATCCTACGAAAAACTAAAAACAAGTCGCTAAAATTAATTAACCCTTAAATCCGACACCGTCCCCGGCAACGGCGCCAAAAACTGATGTGTGTTTTCTCGCACTTAAAAATGATGTAGTAAAGTGGTTGAAAGTACGAGTATCGTCTCCACAGGGACGGACAAAAGGGAATCAAGAATTAATTAAATTCAGCGATTAAAAAGAAAATAAAATAAAAGCGTCGTGCGAGATTGGATGGTTTGGAAAATAAAACTAATACGAACAATTAAACTAGGGGGTTCTTTCTAATTAATGACGAAGGGAACAAGGATTGATTCCGGGGTAATCAGATTTCTGGCAGAACAGGCCTAATTACATGAATTTAATTTAATTGAGCCTAGCTAATCATTACTAAGTTCTTACCGCTCTCGCGGCGTAGAGTACAATAATTTAGGGGACCAGGCTGATCTCTCATGCGACAGGATCCTAAATTATTGCCAAGATGAGCGAGCTTACGGCCCCTTAATCGCTACTAATCTCTTAGCGAACGATTAAGTGTGTGTGAATGTGTCCTAGAATAAACTAGATCTCTCTTAATTTATTCTACAAGCAATTGTAATTCTAGCCGCGGTTCCAGGTTACAAAAGATATCAGTTAAATTATTCAAACACAAATTAAACGGCATTCATGCAATTAAACCGACAAGAATCTAGCCATCAATCATGATTAACCCCTTCATCAATCCCAAATCCCTAATTAAACTACTCACAATTCATAATTGAAGAATCAACAGAATTGGGATGAATAGAAATAATTGTCATTAATTAAAAAGATAGAACTTACAAAGAATCCCTTAATCTTGAAGAACAAGGCTTGAAAAGCTCTCAAAAATCGAAATAGGGTTTATCTCTCTAAGCTCCTCCCCAAAAACAGGCAAAACAGGGGCTTATTTATAGAAAAATCCGAAAACGGGCCGAAAATCAGGCCGCGCGGTCGTCCGCACGTAGTGCGGGTCACCGCGCGGTCACGCGCGCATTTTTCCGTCTTCCGACTTTCGCTCCGCCCGCGCGGTGTGCGGGCGCCGCACTATGCAACCGCGCGGGTACTTCTGGGGGCTATTTCTGGACCACGCGGTGTGCGGTTTCGGCCGCGCGGTGTGCGGTTTCGACCGCGCGGTGTGCGGTTTCGGCCGCACATAGTGCGGTTCAGACTTCTTGAATTCTTGCTCTCAGAATCACCCGCGGGGCGTGCGGAACCGCACCGCGGGGCGCGCGGATTCCTCTAGAACCGTTTTCTTGCTATTTTCTTCCCCGTTTGCTCCCGGATACTTCTTTAATCAATCCAAAGGCCGTTTCTTCATCAAATCTTCGCCGTGAACCTTCCGGTGGCCTCCAAAACTCTCAAATCTCTCTCGAATGTTCTCCAACTCTTCCCGATTGCTTCTCTAAGCGCCGATGTCGGTCTCTAACTTCTTCAAATCAACTCCAAATGCAATGAAACTCGATCCAACGCCTGCTAAACACAACTTGAGCCAAAATTGAGACTTGCAACGCCTTAAAGCCAGGAAAACCATCAAAATCCGACCCGGACACGCATCACATGCGTGTCTAAATACGGACTTATCAATCGTAAACCGAACGGGAAGTTAATTTTGGGACGGAGGTAGTATATCAGACAACCACTAGATTAGATTAGAACAAATTTAAACAAACAAAATCATATTGGACTGAAAATTTTAGTTCCATTAATAACATTGGTAAATGTAATATTACCTCTCTCCCACTAACATTGAGGGTTGGGACATTAGGAGATGTTGCAATTATTAAGAAAAGATAATTTATGTGATTGATGTTGAATTGATAAAGTAAGAATACAGTAAGAATGATTTAGGATAATACAAATCTTTATCAAATTTGGTATGAGATAATCTTACGGCGCCAAATCAAAAAATAAATGTGAAATGATTTTAGTGGGACGTAGAGATTAAGGGTCTGTTTGCAACAGCTTCTGCTTTTAAAAAAGTGCTTTTTTTAATGAAATGAGGAGAAATGATTAAATAAAAGTTGATAGTGTTTGTGAAAAAAGTGATTTTGAAAAGTAAAAGTTGGTAGTGTTTGGTAAAATAAGTGCTTTTTGTATAATAGAAAAAGTAAAAGCACTTTTGACACGAAAGCCGAGAAAAATAAAAGTTGTAGTGTTTGACAAAAGAAGTGTTTTTTTAAAGTCAAAAGCCGAAAAGTGCTTTTTTTAAAGCGTTTGCAAACCATGAATGAACGAGTCAAAGGATGAGTGACTGGCATACTATGAAGGCTTCAAAAGATGTAATTTGTATACATCTAGTCATCTATCATACATGATAGATAAATTCACACTCCCATGAATGAACGAGTCAAACGATTGAGTGACTGACATAAGATGTTTTCTTTTGGACTGTTTTCAGTCCCAGACCAGAGCAGACCAGAGTTAAACAGACCAGACCAGACTTAACAGACCAGACCAGATCAGACTTCCGTAGTTATAAAATACACAGAGACCAGACGTTTACCAGACCAGACCAGAACTTAAATAGACCAGACCAGCGAATTTCAGTCCAAAAGAAAACATCCATACTGTGAAGGCTTCAAAGAGATTGGGCCTGTTGCCTTTCCGGTCTGTAACCCATAGTGGATCCACCATTATTCTTACTGAGCTAGAGCGGGCTTGCCTTTTTCTGTCGCCTGGCGGATCTCATCTCCAACCGTCCATTTCAAATTCAAAATTCAAATTTCAAATTCCCTGTCCCGTTAACAGAAGTTGTATTTCTTTCTATTCGAACCCCATTTCCAGTCTCGATTCCCTCATACCCTAAGACACCATCTCTGTGTCTCTCGGATTTACACCCTCCCTCTCTCTATTTCTCTATCTCTAGGGAAGAACTCGCAGTATCAATGGCGAAGAACAAGTTGCCCTTGCAGTCTAGCAACAACGCTAACATTGCCAATGGGAACGGGAAGACCATCGAGGAGACGTACCAGAAGAAGACGCAGCTGGAGCACATCTTGCTCCGACCGGACACTTACATTGGGTCCGTTGAGAAGCACGTCCAGAATATATGGGTATGGGAGGACGGATCTATGATCCATCGATCCGTCAGCTATGTTCCTGGCCTCTACAAGATCTTCGATGAAATCCTGGTTAACGCCGCGGACAACAAGCAGAGGGATCCCAAGATGGACTCCTTGAAGGTCGTCATAGATCCCGAACAAAACCTCATTAGCGTTTACAACAATGGCGATGGTGTGCCTGTAGAGATTCATCAGGAGGAAGGGGTTTATGTTCCAGAGTTGATATTCGGACACTTGTTAACCAGTAGTAACTACGATGATACGGTGAAGAAGACCACTGGTGGCAGAAATGGTTACGGAGCCAAGCTTACCAACATCTTCTCGACAGAGTTCGTGATTGAGACTGCAGATGGAAAGCGGAAGAGAATGTACAAGCAGGTATACTTGCTCCTGAGTTACTCGTCACTGTATGCATATGAACTCAATTTTGAGGACATTTTCTTCTCTGATCTGACTCCTTAGGTTTTACTATTATATGATGCTAATTCTCCAATTCCATCCAATGTCATAGATCTGAATTATCTTGATTCATAGCTTTGATTTTTATTTTATCCAACGATAATAGATGTAGGATTTGGGGTAATTAGTTAGTTGTTGCAGGAACGCATAAATTGATTATGTTTGTATTATGGTTCATGATATTGTTCAGAAATGAAGGAAATAAGTAGTAGTCGTGTGATATTGTTATCGGTTCACACATTGCTTCATGTGCTGTGCTGACATATTATGTACGTTTTTGTAGGTCTTCGGAAATAACATGGGACAGAAGTCTGAACCTGTAATCACAACCTGCAAAGCAAGTGAGAATTGGACAAAAGTCACTTTTAAACCTGACCTGGCAAAGTTTAACATGGTTCATCTTGAGGATGACGTTGTTGCTTTGATGAAGAAACGAGTGATGGACATGGCGGGATGTCTTGGAGCAACAGTGAAGGTGGAACTCAATGGGGAGCGGATCCCTGTTAAGTCGTTCAAAGACTATTGTGACCTTTACCTAAAATCTTCAAGTGTGACATTAGAAAACCCTAAAAGGTTCAATCTATTTGGTTTTACTCATCCATTGACAAGTTTCTTTTCCCCGTCATTATAAGTTAGCTGAAATTTCGAACTTACCATTTTGCAGAGAGTATGTGAAAGTTAATGATAGGTGGGAGATATGTGTTAGCTTGCGTGAAGGATTTCAGCAGGTAATAATAGCAGTGAAACATTTCAGAAGCTCAAAGCCAAAATCTATCATAAAAAAGCCTTATGATCTTGAAACTTACATTTTCAATTTTGCAGGTCAGTTTTGTCAATGGGATTGCAACAATTAAAGGTGGAACTCATGTGGATCTTGTTGCAAACCAGATTGCAAACCATATTGCTACTCTTGTAAACAAGAAGAACAAAAGTGCTAATGCTAAAGCAAATTCTGTAAAGAATTATCTATGGGTTTTTGTCAATGCTCTCATTGATAACCCTGCTTTTGATTCCCAAACTAAAGAAACCTTGACTCTTCGCCAGAGCAGTTTTGGTTCTGACTGTGAACTCCCACCAGACTTCCTGAAGAAAGGTCAGTAAAATTTTAGTATGCATTTGTCATGGAAATTGTAAATCACATCATTTTTCTGAGACCATTTTAGTCAATAAGTATGCTGGATCTCATGGTTTACTTTGCTGCAGTGGAGAAGATTGGAATTGTGGAAGCGGTCCAATCATGGGCAGAGTTTCAACAGAAAAAAGCATTGACTAAAACTGATGGAAAGAAAACCAAACGAATTCTTGTTGAGAAGTTGGAAGACGCTAATGATGCTGGAGGGAAAAACTCTGAAAAATGCACCTTGATTTTGACTGAAGGAGATTCAGCCAAGGCTCTAGCTGTACGAATATATATGATTCTAAATGCTCTTACTTTTTCTTATCATTGTATCGTGCGTGTGTGTACATATTAGTATGAATATTATTTTTAAATCTTTATTTCATAATATTATTATATGCTGAGCAAATGTTGTAAGGAGATTGAATTTTGCAACTCTTCTACAGATGGCAGGGGTTTCAGTAATTGGCAGAGACCATTATGGCGTGTTTCCTTTGAGAGGTAAGTTGCTGAATGTAAGAGAAGCCAGTACCAAACAGTTGGAGGACAACAAAGAAATTAAAGCCATCAAACAGATTCTGGGACTACAGCATAACAAAGAATATGACAGTGTCAAAACACTGAGATATGGTCACTTAATGATAATGACCGATCAGGTACTTGTGTGTTTTATTTTGCGCCTACATGCTGTGTTATTTATCAGTACATATTTTGTGACTGGACTACAATGTAATCTTGTTCTCAGGACCATGATGGTTCCCACATCAAGGGGCTTCTCATTAATTTTATCCATACATTCTGGCCTTCATTACTAAAAGTCCCTTCATTTTTAGTGGAGTTCATCACACCTATTGTCAAGGTACATGTTTTTTTTTCTGTATTTCATTTTTTTGGATGACTAAATGTCTACATTTGAGAGGAGATATGGTATTGCTCTCATTCTTCTCTCAGCTTTTCTGGCACTGATTTCCATTTTTGCAGGCTACCAAAAAAGGTGGGGAGAAAATGGCATTTTACTCTATGCCTGAGTATGAAGCATGGAAGGAGAGTTTAGGAGATAATGGCCGAGGTTGGTCTATCAAGTACTACAAGGTTTGTGCTATAAAGCTATATCGATCATTTGACTGTTATTTGATCAAGAAATTGATTTTGTAAGGCGTCCTGGCAGGGGTTGGGAACAAGCACATCGCAAGAAGGAAAGGAGTACTTCAGAGACCTTGATAAACACAAGAAGAATTTCCAATGGGCGGATCCTAGAGATGGGGAGGCTATAGAGCTTGCTTTTAGTAAGAAGAAGATCGAAGCAAGAAAGAATTGGCTGAGACAATTTGAGGTTTTGCAATTACTCACAACTTTGCTATGACAAATCAACTTAAACTCCAGTGGTTAAATCCATCCTTCTTATCTGATTTTGCAGCCTGGGACTCACCTTGATCAGAGTGTGAAGAACATCAAATATACTGATTTTGTTAACAAGGAGCTTATTCTGTTTTCGATGGCTGACCTTCAAAGATCTATTCCATCAATGCTTGATGGTTTAAAACCTGGTCAAAGGAAGATCCTGTTCTGTGCTTTTAAGAGAAACTTCACCAAAGAAGCAAAGGTTGCTCAATTCTCTGGTTATGTTTCAGAGCACTCAGCTTACCATCATGGTGAACAGAGCTTGCAGGGTACAATTGTTGGCATGGCTCAGACTTACGTTGGCAGCAATAACATTAACCTTTTCCTGCCAAATGGTCAATTTGGCACAAGAAGTGCGGTAAGTCAAACTGCACATGGCGTATCATGTTCAATTAGTAACTTTTCAGTTGTTTCTGTATTGTCAGTGAATGTACACACAATATTTTGGAGGAAGATAATGATTTTATCTTATGATACAACCAAACTCTCTTTATAGGGTGGCAAGGACCATGCCAGCGCTAGGTACATTTACACTCAACTTTCGCCCGCTGCTCGATTTTTGTTTCGCAAAGAAGATGACACACTCCTTGACTACTTGAATGAGGATGGCCAGTCCATTGAGCCTACTTGGTATGTAAAATGTAGACTATATTATAGAAAATGTTTGTCTGATTTACAGTATATACAATAACAGATGAATACTTAATTGACTGAATAATTTGCTCTTTGGACCACAGGTACGTCCCAGTCATTCCAATGGTACTAATTAATGGCTGTGAAGGAATAGGGACAGGTTGGAGCACATACATCCCGAATTACAATCCAAGGGATATTATTGCAAACATGAGGTGCCTGTTAAATGATGAACCAATGAAGCCCATGGATCCATGGTATAAAGGTTTTCAAGGATCCATTGAGAAAACAGCAACCAAAGAAGCTGGGGTTACGTACACAGTTACTGGAATCATTGAGGAGGTTGATGAAACAACACTAAAGATAATAGAGTTGCCCATTCGGAGATGGACTGAAGATTACAAGCAGTTTCTGACATCAATGATGGCTTCAAATGACAAGGTCAAGGACCCTTTCATAAAGGTACATTCTCTTACTGCCATTTTAAAGTTTATTTAGGAAGAAAAGAAAGGGACTTATTGTTTGAAGTATGTTTTTACTTTGGCAGGAACTGAGGGAGTACCACGATGTGAATACCGTACACTTCGAAATTGAACTTTCTGAAGAGAGTATGATGGTTGCCAAGCAAGAGGGTCTAATCAAAAGATTTAAACTGACAACAACAATCAGCACAAGTAACATGCACCTCTTTGACTCAAAAGGTGTAATAAAAAAATACGATACACCTGAACAAAGTGAGTCTTGTTTTAATGGAATTGTAATTATACTTATTGATGTCTAAGTCGTGCTCCGTATGTGACTGATCTCTCTTGTATTTTCTTCAATTAAACAGTCATGGAGGAATTCTTCATTGTAAGGCTTGAGTTTTACGCAAAAAGGAAGGCAAGTTGATATGCAAGTCATGGTTTCCATTTCCAACTAGACATCCCACCCTCCTGCACTCACTAACTGTTAAAAAATTTATGCAGAGAGTTCTGTTAGAATTTCTTGAAACAGAGCTGCTGAAACTTGATAACAAGGTCAGGTTTATCCTAGGAGTGGTGAGAGGGGAGATCATTGTAAGCAACAGGAAGCGAGCAGAACTGTTGGAAGAGCTGAGAGAGAAGGGATTTACTCCATTCCCAAAGAAGGCTAAAGCTGTGGCTGAATCAAGTGAGGATGCAGAAGAGAACGAAGAGAGTAGTAGTCAAGTGGCAGCAGCAAATGCAAAAGCCAGTGATTATGATTACTTGCTGTCAATGGCAATTGGAACCCTTACTCTTGAGAAGGTTCAAGAGCTGTGTGCTGAAAAGGGAAAACTTGATGCAGAGGTGGAGTGTATGAGGAAAGCTACTCCCAAGTCTCTGTGGATGAAAGATCTCGATTGTCTTGAAATTCAGCTTGATGTATGAACTGTCTCAACTACCTTTTTATTTTTTGGTGTGTGTATTTGAAATTCATTTCTTCTTCACTGTGCTTATGCTGCATATATTTTTCAGGAACAAGATAAACTTGATGCTGCTTCGGAGGCAGCGAACTCGAGAAAGAGTAAAGCGGTGGGGAGTGGCGGTAAAGCTGCTCAGGTGAAGGCAGCAGCGCCTAAGAAACCACGGAATAAGAAAGCCACCACTGCCAAAGAAGCTGCTGCTTCTGAACCTATGGAGGTTTCAGATGGTTTTGTTGTGGACAAGGAGGTCCCTGAGATTGTGCAGCCAAAAGGCAAAGGAGCTGCTGGTGGTGCAAAGAAAGCTGCTGCTGCTAAGAAGGGAAAATCATCAGTTATGTTAATAGATGAAGAAGAAGATGATGTGGACGTTCTAGAGCTGAAAGATAGGCTGGCCGCGTACAACCTTGACTCATCACCTGATCTGCCAGAAGCCACGAAGGCAGCAGCTGAAGTGCCCAAAGCCCAAAGAAAAGAAACCATCAGCAAAAGAGCAAAGAAGCCGCCGCTGCCTGGTAAGATTAATATCAGCGATGATGATGAGGATGAGGATGGGGACTTTGAAGCACCGGCAGCAGAGAAAAAGAAGGGTGGCGGAAGGAAACCTGCAGCTAAAGCTCCTGCGGCAACAAAGAAAAGGGGACCCGCGGCTAAATCCGTTGCTGCTGGGCAGAAACTGATAACAGAAGTGCTGAAGCCTGCTTCTTCGCCTGAGAAAAAAGTAAGGAAGATGAGGGCGTCTCCTTTTAACAAGAAGAGTGGGTCTGTGCTCGGCAGAACCAACAGCAGCAGCATAGGCAGCTTGGGTGATTTGACTACTGAAAGTGAAGAACAGCAACAGGATGTGAGTGGAGGTTCTTCCGCAGCGTCAGCCGATGACTCTGTGGCGGCGGCTACAAGAAGCAGACCACAGAGGTCAACCCGTCCGAGGACAACTTATGTACTCAGCGATTCTGAGGAGGAAGATGGTGATGCCAGTGATCCTGCCGAGGTCACTGACGATTCAGACTTTGAAGATGATGATTAACTGCAGAACGGCTAAACTGTTAAAGTTTGTATCAATGACCTCGGCTAAACTGGCGAGGTCATTTGTATATTTTTCTTCGACTCCGTTATTCATTTTAATTCAACTTTAATCGACAATTTCTCCTCACATTCTGTATGATGTCTCATTGGATGTAGGATGTGTCATATATACCATACCATAGTTTGATTACTGCTTGGTATATTTTTCTATATCTATAAGTTGAAAGTAACAAGTTGACAAGAATACTATCTTGTTTATTCATAGGAGTTGAAACTTGAAAGTAATAAGTTGACAACACTATTTTTTTATTAAGAGAAAACTATCAAATAGGCTCACATACTATTAGCCGGTACGCCCCCCGTTGGCTAGTTAGATGCTTCCGTGGCTACTATTTTTTTTTTGGGGAATTATTATCACCATTATATAAATAATCAGGAAATCATAATTATGATTCTAGATGATAATTGTGTGGTACACAATTATCTTCTAATCCTAAGGAGTTTAGTTTTTCTCCTATACATAGGAGTGTTCTCCTTCATTGTAAAGACACTTATAAAACACCATGGTTACACCATTATCAAACTCTCAATAACATAATCTATCACTAAGTGTTCATACTATACTTTCTCTCCCTGATCTTCTGCTTATTTCCTTCCATATTATAACACGTTATCAGCACGAATTTGCTCCAAATCCCTGAAATCACCATCTTCCTAGTAGGTATATACTTTTTGGAATTTATCAATTCATCTTGTGAAATACGGAGTTTCAAACATTCCCCAAGTTAACGTAACCCTAATTTGAATGTTCTTCCTTTCGCTTTTAACCGGAGAAGAAACCTGTAACGCCAAAAACTCGTGGGTGTACCGGCTTCACCTTCTCGCATTTATTTCTGCGTAGTACAAGTACGTGTAAAGTCATATTAGAACGGTACATGATAGTTGGGACCCATATGTTTAATTCCAACCGTTGTTGTTATACTCGTTATTGAGAATCGTTAATTGTTCAAAAATTAAGCTTTGGTTTTAATTGGCCAACCACTCCTCTTTTTTCAGAATGTTTGACAAGCTAAGGTTCAGCTAACCATTCACCATCGGGGGACTTTAATTAACAACCCTACGCGTATGTACAAGAGTGGTGAAGTCAATAATTTGGAAATAGATCATGATTTCATATGCTACCCTCATTTAATGAAGTTCCTCAAATTGGGTATGTATGGGAATATTCAAGGGATTTATTTTAAGAAACCATCAGGCCTTATGGAAACTCTATATGATGAGTTGTTTGACGATGAGTCAACTTTACATTTAATAGACATAGGTAGATGTTGTGGACAGTGTGAGTTGGTAGACTTCCTCCCATTACCTGAACCAAATGCTGAAGGAACACAGCCTAAACCAGACAATGCAAAGGATGCAAATGCAAAAGAAAATGAAGATAGGGCCGGTGGAAGTGATTCACATAAAGAGCCTAATGAAGAGGGAGATCCCACTACAATGGAAAGTGAGAGTGAAGATAGGGATGCTGAAGAACATGAAGATAGGGTTGGTGGAAGTGATTCACGGAAAGAGCCTAATGAAGAGGGAGACCCAACTGTAATGGAAAGTGAGAGTGAAGATAGGGATGTTGAAGAACATGAAGAGCAGGGGTTACAGTGAGATGATGAAGATCTTTGGGAGATCCCTTTTGAATCAGATGCTAACATTGCAGATGAAGAAGAGATTCACACTTCAGATATTGATGGTGAAGATGGGACAGGTAAAGATGGCATTGATGACCCACAACAGGCCAATGAGGACTTAGCTGCTTCTGATTCTGAGTACTGCAACAGTGAATATGACTCAGATAGTCCATCTAGCTTGGACTGAGATGAGGAATCAGAAACTGGTGTTGTGAACCCAAAAAAGATGAAGTGCAGACATCTTGTGTATTAGGGGTGAGCAAATAACCAATTCAACCGACTTGACCGAAAACCGATGACCGAACCGACCGAAAAAATTGGTTTTCGGTCGGTTTTCGGTTATCATAAATTTAAAATAATCGGTTATTTGGTTATTCGGTTTTTATTCGGTTTTAGTGTGATTTTTAATTTTTTTTTATTTAAAGTGAGATTTAAAATATTCCGAAGCTTTTAGATGAATTTGCTAGTTTGGGGTTCAATGTTTAATAAGTTAATACTCCGTAGCTTATTTATTTGCTAACATGTCCTTTTTTATTTTGTTTCCAGATTGACAAAGACAATTGTGGAATTAACGGTGAAATATTCTCAACGTGAAATTTTTTAGTTTTTGTAATCGTATTGTGCTGTGTACAATTATTTACATTTAAATATGTTAAATCCATTTTAGTATTTATTATTTTATAATTTTATTTATTAATGTGTTATCCACAACTTTTATAATTTTAAAAATATATGATTTTGAAATAGAGTCGGTTATGGTCGGTTATTCGGTTACCGACCGAAACCGAATGACATTTTGTTAGACCCTAGATTCTGATAGATTTTGATGATGCCTTTGTTTTGATATCTCCCATCTTTTGTAGCATTCAATTATTATGAATACTGGCAGTTGGCTATACTAATTATCTGAAAATGTCCTGCTCAAGTTGAAAATTAACAAATAAATATAACTGGAAAACATAAAATGCAATAAGGTAATACTTTATTACCTTAAAAGGATCTCTTATAGATTCTACCAGTTAAATTTATTTGTTACATCAAATGACACAAAAATATTTCGAACAACTACACTATTTATTTAACTGGAATACAAAATGCAATAAGGTAATAATTTTTACCTTAATAGGATTTGTTATCCTACCAGTTAAAAATTTAGTTTATGTTCGAAATACTTGATGGGCCATACACAACCAAGTGTGATCAGAAGTCAAAAGAAAAATGTTTGTATCAAGTAAATTATACCGAAAAAATAAAAATGCAATAAGGTAATTTTTACCTTAAAAAGGATATTTAAATCCTACCGGTATATATTTACTTTATCACAAACATTTTAATTTTGTCACAAAAACGAAAGGCACATTGGTATGAAATATACATGTGTCTAATTGAGAACAAATATCCGGAGCTAATCAAAAATCCCGGCATGGAGAGCCAAGACGTACAGTATGGGATGCACAATCAACTTGAAGTGAAAAAGCTACAGTGGCTAGGCAAACAAGACAAAAAGAACCCATCAGCTCTGAAGAAGAAAATAAACAACAAGTTGTTTATCTTCTGCGATCAAGATTCAACGTTCATGATTAAATCATCTCAACCAACGGATGATATTAATCAACCAGAGATGCCTATAAATAAAGACCGAAGCATGAGTTAAATAATTAAGTCATTGAGTTCAACGCAAGTGGTTCAGTCATTGCACTACGCATATCCAGCAAAAGAGAAAGTGCTTGAACACTCTGCTTTGACTCATGCTTCACTAAGCTCTTAGACTAGATTATTCATTGTAACATTTGTAGAGCTTAGGTTTTAGTTGGTGGCCAGAAATTCCTTGTAACATGTAAGGAATAAATGTAATTAGATTTTGATGATGCTATAGGATTAGAAAGTTAGATTACCCCCATATTAGATTTTATGTATTAGATTTTTCAAATTGTAAGTATTAGTGTAGTCGACGATCAGAGTTGCTCTATTTTGGATCAGATCAGAAGTGCATCAGAACTGCTCGACCAGAGTTGCATCATGAGAGTTGCTGATAAGCCTGGACATCTGATAGCCGATGAGAACTACAGATCAGAAGTACTCATCAGCGGACCTATCAGGTTCAGAGTTCAGTCAGAGATCAGAACTCCATCAGAACTCAACTCATCAGAAAGCCATCAGAATCCAACATATCAGAAGAGCCTGATCAGAGCCCGACGAACACTTAGAAAAATTTCAAGCAACATCCAACAGCTCTGAATTCAACGGGTAAAAACATCCAACGGCTAGAAGACTGTGCATGAAAGGAAAGCATTTAATGCACATTAAATGAGCCTGATACGCTGAAGGATTGATTGCAAATGATTGACCAAAGAATCCGGGAAGATATATTTTAAAAATAGAAACCTTCCAAAACGGCGGTCAAGTCAACTGTACGCGCATTTAATGCAGTTGTCTCCTCCTCCAACGGGCAGACAACCCCAGTATATAAGCTACTCACCGAAGAACAGGGATATAACTTTGCTACAACTTTTGCTCATCAAATTTGCAAGCTTTCTTGAGATTCAAACTCCACAACACAAAAACAAGACAAGCTTACGTTGGGAAGATTCAAACTCCAAATCTCTCATCCCCAACAAACAAGCAAAGTTCATCCTGCTCTTCAACTCTTCAAGAACTTCATCAAACATCATTTGTAACGAAGCAAGTTGGAGGAAAAACTCTGTTTTTCAAAGAATCTTCTGAAAAGAAGGGCGTCCAAGTAACTGCAGTAGTGAAGTGGTGATACTTCCGGGAAGCTGAGTGAAAGGACCAGCCGTCAGGACGTGGAATTGCATCCTGGGTGGCAGCTAGACTTGAAGAAGGCGTGGAGAACTTCTTAAGTGCTAGGAACTAAGCTTTGTAACCGATCTACTTCAAAGCTAGTGGAACAGTGGACTAGAGGAACGAGTTGTTCCTTGAACCACTATAAAATATCCGGTGTCATTTACTTTACTGCAATTTATATTTCCTGCACTTAGGATATTAACTGATTAACTCTAAGACTTGGAATCTGTGTTCAGCAGATCTTGTTTTCAGAGTTATCAGAAAGGCATTTGTCTTAGTGTTTCTGAGGCTACCCGGACAGATCAGAATCCGCTGCCAAGGCCAGTTCTGATATCAGAACCAGCCTATCTCTGTCATCAGAATCAGACCTTCTCTGATAAGTCAATTTGGACTTAGAGAAAATTTGAAAAACCAATCAGTCTATTCACCCCCCCCCCCCCTCTAGACTGATTACCATATTTAACGGGACCAACAAGTGGTATCAGAGCCTCCTTGTTCTTGTAATCTTTTAGGTTACTCTCTGAACAAAGATCCACTTGTTCTTAGCCTCTCTTTATTTATTATAATGGATAATTCTCTTGCAAAGCATCTTATGTTCACAGATCAGAAATATGATGATTGGAAGATCAGAATGAAGGCACATCTATGTGCCCTACATGATGAAATGTGGGAAGTCTTGGAGAATGGACCCTTTATCCAGTTCATGAAGATCAATCCTGCTCACTCCATTGATAACTCTCAGCCCCAGATGATTGAGAAAGCCCGGTCAGAATGGACCAAGGAAGAGAAAAGACAGTATAACCTT